AGCTTGTGTAAGGATGATCGGGACTGCCTCTTGTTATGTGCCTAAATATCCTCGATCACACAGGGCGTACCTCTAGCTGTTCTTTATTGAATAATTTTCACTAGAAGTACTAAGTGTTCATGACCACATGCCTAATTTGTAGATAGACATAATAACGTAAGTCACGTTAATACATTAGCTGATATAAATAAAGTTCCATCTGAAGAAAAGTTAAAAAAGAAAAAGACTTATTGGATTTTGGAGATTGGCGGGAGGACCAAAATCTATAAGTAGTAGTTCGGAGATTATAAAATTTAGTTTATAATATCCTACATCTACTAATGTCTCAAACAGGTCCAAGTAGATGAGTCATACCAAATACTCAGGCTATTGGAGCCATCAAAGTGAATTAAGCTTGTATTAAATTATTTAAAATACAAATAAAAACCAATGTATTATCTCAATTGATCTTGATATTTTAGACTGACCGGAGGCCGTATTTCTACACGGGTTAGGGATAATATTATTTATTTCAAAAATGGCAAGTATTTATGATACAATGTAAGAACATATTGGCGGCTATTGGTGAAGTCACGAGTTCCGTTACTCGATGGGCCCTCTCGATTCTTCCGGTTCTGGAGACCCGCCGTGATGCGCTGCTGTGCATCTGGAATGTCGGGGCTTAATAGCTGTAGAAGTTCGTGCGTCTTCATCAGTTGCCATTTCGGATGTATTTGCAGGGTACATTCATACGTTCTCCCATTGAGAACTTCTTTTAACAATTGTATAATACAGTGGTTTAATAAGTTCTGTTGAAAATCAGCATCTGTTTGGCACCGTTCCCGTGCCCTCCGATGGTTCTCCATGAGCTGTGTCATATTCCGACTGTGGCCTTGGGCTAGCTTACGAAACGCGGGGTCGATAGTGGCTTGCGTCTCATGCGAGCAGATATGTTCGATTTGTAGTTGTGGAGTCCACATCTTCAATCGCTCAGAGTTATCGCGGATGTAATCCAATGTTGATTTCTCAGCCTTGAAATAAGATAGTACTTTATGGAACCATGTAAGGCTCCAACTCTCATCTACCCCACGATTTGTGCGTTCTTAAATGCCTCAAGGAGAGCCCCTCTCGTACCCCGTTTCCATGATGTCGTGTAGGTGGTAACTATTCGAAGGAGTGTACAAAAGGGCCTGGACTCTAGGCCAGGCCCTACAAATGGCTCAAAGGGAAAGTCCTATCCTTGGATGGTCCATGTGTCCAAGTGAGGCCTGGTCCTTTGGCCGGACCTCTGCAACAGCCTCTAACCGCAGGTTTAACTGCAGGTTAGCTAATCACCGCAGGTTAGCTAACCGCAAGATATTAGTGGGCTCTCAACAGGACAGGGCAGGGCTGTCCTGGCCTGGCGTCTTGGGGCAGGGCTGTACCATTTTCTGGGTGCAGAGCAGTCCTGTCATCTGGTGCCATATAGGGACAATATTATTTATTCCAAGAAAAAAAGATAAGTTACAATGTATGTATGTTACAAAGTATGAACATATGGTATGGCTCTCATAGTCGTTGTAGTGGTTCGGGAAAGATCGATGGGAAGAAGTGGTCTGTAAATTCCCGTTTGAAGCTTGGGCCAAGTGAGGCGACGATGGAGGATATGCGCTGAGTCATTTCGGGCCGGTGCTGACAAAACACTGATACCATCGAATGTGCCATGTATTCGCTTGCTGACCTACTAAGTAGCGTACCCACCTCTGTGGTGCGGATCGAGTCTGCGCCGTTGTCGGTATGTACATACTACAAATATGAATATTTAGATTTTGTTTATAGACTAGTGATTATGTACGGGTGATGCTAAAAACTTTTATATTTTTATAAGAAAAAACTATCGCTTGTTCAACCGAACCGACCTCATTATGTTTTACGGTTTAACGTATAAATAATATTAAAACGTTTAACGGTTACTACTGTATGTTGACGAGGGTGCTGTGCTGTGTATATTGTCTAGCTATTTCGTCATATATTTAGTCATTTCATTAGCCATCTCTACCTCACTTCTATTTACGCTTTAACGTTCAACAAAAATAGCAAAACTTAACCCGTCGTTGAACGTATACGATGACTACCACAACGTAATGAGCTTACCCCACAACTCGCCACTATTCAATAATACAGATATTAATACAGAGCAGCTAACGTGCACAAACTAGCAGTAACCTCTCAGAAAGGGTTGCATGAGCGCTATGATTTTGAGTTGTATTTGAACAGTCTCAGCTGCCATCGTGCCTTCTTCTAAATCATACCCGTCGATCATTGTGGTATGTACGTCTCCAAACAGTAGACCTGACTAAGAAGATACACATGGAGCGTCAAGCATGACGGCACCGCCCCGTTAATATACAAGGGTGTGTGAACGGGTATACTGTATAATTAACCAGTTACCACATTTACTATTCAGAAGTATGCTAACAGGCTACTACTCTCACGTGCGGAGGCACTTGCTCAACTTACAAGCCCTAGCTTTGGCATGTGAGACAACTCACCTTAGGCGTCATATACAGACAAGTGAAACCGTATTACATAACACGAATGGAATAATTTTCTTTAGCGGTATAGGGACCACTACATCTAACAGAATACCTCGAGTACAGTATCGTACTATTAGTAGCATGCGACGGTGTGCAGATGTGAGAACGTATACACTCTTATGTGAGCCACTTGTGCGTGAGAGAACTGCACTAAAGACGGCTATTGCGCGTGCGACGTATTCAACACGACCACTGATGAGCATACATTCGAATAGATTGGCGAATACACAACGATCTAGCCGTCCAATAATGATAAAAAACTACACCTCAGTGACCTCACACGCCAAACCCAATCCACTGTTTCGGCACCTTTATCTGCATGGATCTATGGGAAGGACACGCATCTCCGCACATATAGTAAGGTCTTTCACATCGAGCGCATGCAGGAGGCACTCCAAGTACTTCTCATACAACACATACGCCTCGAATATACTCGTAGGGACAAAGTTTAAACGCATTCCATTAATCTCAGCACTGCGTGTACTGTGGGCGTATGGTATAAAGTTCATACTTGCCATAGCAACCGTTGTTGTTGTGGTGTTTACAGGATCCTTCCTGTACGCAGGCATCCCGATCTACCAGTTGGCCAAAAGAGAGAAAGCGGAGAAGCTGGAACGAGTGGTATGTGATGGGCCTTCAGATTACGAGTGGCGAGTTTCTTGATTGAGTGAGGAGATATTCTTTAGGTATATATATATATATATATAATATAATATACCACACACACACACACACACACACACACACA